CTCAGGGAAAAGGGGAGAGGGGGTGTGGGAAGAGACTGAACATATGGACTATGCACCTATGTATGAGGACAATGGAGGGTGGGGAAAGGGCAGAAGGTGGGGTGGGAACCTGGTGGAGGGGAGCAATGGAGGGGGGGGTGGAAATGAGGAACATTTGTAATAATACGAACAATAAAGATTTATTTAAAAAAAAAAACAAAAAACTATCCAGATCCTCAAAACAAGGAAAGTCTGAGAAAATTTCATAGTCAAGAGGACCCTAAGATGACACGATGAGTAAATATAATGTGGGACAGAGAAAAATGACATTAGGTAAGAATTAAGGAAATCAGCCCCAGGCGATTTAGCTCAGTGGACTGAAGGCACCAGGTTGGATTCCGGTCAAGGGCATGTACCTTGGTTGCAGGTTCCCTGGCCTAGTCTGGGTGCATGCAGGAGACAACCAATCAATGTCTCTTTCACATCAATGTTTCTCTTGGTCTCTCCCTCTCCTTTCCACTCTCTAAAAACCAATGGAAAAATATCTTCAAGTGAGGATTAAAAAAACACACTAAGGAACTCTGAATAAACTAAGAAATGTAGTTAATAATAATGTATCAATATTGGCTCATTAGCTGTAATAAGTGTATCATAGTCATGTAGATGTTAACAGTATGGGAAACTGGGTGTGGGATACATGGGAACTCATTAAGATCTACTTAGTTTTCCTGTAAATCTAAAACTATTCTAAAAAATAAGTGTTAAAAATTGGTTATAGCCGAAACCGGTTTGGCTCAGTGGATAGAGCGTCGGTCTGCGGACTGAAAGGTCCCAGGTTCGATTCCGGTCAAGGGCATGTACCTTGGTTGCGGGCACATTCCCAGTGGGGGGTGTGCAGGAGGCAGCTGGTCGATGATTCTGTCTCATTGATGTTTCTAACTCTCTATCCCTCTCCCTTCTTCTCTGTAAAAAATCAATAAAATACTTTAAAAAATTGGTTATATTTCTCAGGCTGTGCTAAATGATTCCATCAATGAAAAATGCCTAATACTGAGAGCCCAACTCATGGGGACTAAAGGCACTCAAAGACTTCAGCCATCAAATGACAACAGGACAAGGACTCCACACAACCAGGGTAATCCAGCTCAGAAAGCTATAAATCCAGACACCCCAATTCCTTCAGAGAATTCCACTGGAAACAACTGATAACTAAGACAATAAATAAAGCCAGTTTAACTTTCTTTATCCCAAAAAACCCTACAGCTCTAAAACACACCATGGGCAGCAGGTTTAAAAAACAGTAAAAACTCTATTTGCATAAGTTGAGCTAACAATTCTAGGGGTGTGGGTGAGGATGCCGGTGGGGAGGCAGGCCAGCTCAGGTGACTCACATCCTCCATCAGCTACCAGTGCCTCCTAAAGGAGGGAGGAGCTGATGTGGTATCAGAAGCCACCCTGCCTTTCATAATACCCAGCTCAGGCACTACAATGTGCACTGTTGTCTAATACCATGATTTACACAAATAAAACACACAAAATCCAACTCAGACTCTTGCCCTTTCTTGCCTAAAGATGCTTATAAGTGCCAAGAACCATAGGTGCTATATTTAGCAGCCAAGTTATGAACCCTGAAGGATAATTTTTTAGTGGAAATAGGGATCACCACTAATTAGTCAAGCACAAATTTCAAAGTGAAAATATCTTGATTCTAAATAATTCATTTTCTCATTCAATTTATAAATATTTATTGAAGACCTATTTTGAGCTAGATACTGAACTGATGAAAGAAATTAGCCCAGGAGAACATGCTGAACAGATGAAACAGTTTAAATGAACATCAGATCAATAAATAGAAACGTGGATGACTTTAATAGAATCCCATCAGAGAACATTCTTGATTTAATCTTGCACACCTTCTAGTGGTCCCTTGGTTAAAATGCAAAGCTTACATTACAGCCCACAGTTGAGTCATTGAATATGCTGGAACTCTGACATATGGCTTATTTGACTTTGTGAGCACTCAAACCTTTGACAGCTGTATGGAGTTCTCTCTTTCCTCTCCCTCTCCCTGTCTTCCTCTCCCTTCTCCCTCTCCCTCCTTTTCTCTCCCCTCCTCCTTCTCCTCCCTTCCTCCCTCCTTTCTCTACTGGTTGTGCTAATTTCATAATATCTGTTAAGATATATTCATGATTCCATACAACAAATATTTATTGATGGCCTACCATGAGAAAGTACTAACTAATCTTTGATCTTTCCAATTTAATAATTTTATTTTTTATTTCACAAACATTTCAACAAAGTGTTGGGAATCAATGTTTCTTACTCATCTCTCTCTAACCTATCCATTCCAGCTCTCACACTGCATCATTCATTCAACAAAATTTTATTGGTTTACTATATACGAGGTAGAATTCTAGGCAGTAGAGGTATAGTAATGAACAAAATTGATAAAATGCCTACCCCCTATGAAGTTTTTATTCTAGTGTGTGCATGAGGGAGGGGGCAAAATGTAAAATAAATAATCATTGAATTAAATAATTGTTTAGATGATCAATACTATGGAGCAGCGACTTGCAACTTTTTCATCTCATGACATACATAAACTAAAATTACTAAAATTCTGTAGCTCACCAATATATATTTTGCTGATCTGTCAAAAAATAGGTATAATTTTGATTCATTTGCACTGGATAGCTATTGTTGTGTTGGCTGTTGTTAATTTTCACTTGACAATCTAAGTTAATCTGAAAGAGATAAGTAACCCTGACTAGATAGTTAGGTACTGCATGTTTTAAAAATTCTTGTGGCAAGTCAGTTGAAAATTGCTGCTATGGCAAATAAAACAGGGAAAAGGCAATTTGCTCAGGGAAGGCCTGAAAGTGATATTGGAGCAAATATTTGAAGGAGGTAAGAGGGCATTATTTGGGGTAACAGTATTTCAGGCAGTGGGAACAGCAAGGGGGAAAGCTTAGAGGAAGGAACATATCAGTGGCCAGAGAACAGCAAGGAAATAAATAGTTCTACGGGGGCATGGGAGGAGGGGCAGAAAGCAGCAGTGTTTTGTAGGCCATAATAGGGACTTTGGCTTTACTCTGAAAAAGAGCCATTGCAGTATTTGAGCAGAGGACTGATGACAGCTAACTTCTGTTTTCATAGGATCACTCTGTCTGCTGTGTGGAGAATAGACCAAAGAAGGGCAAGGCCAGAAGCAGGAACACAATTTGGGAGTTGGTTGTAAAATAATCCAAGAGAGATAATGGAAGCTTAGAGTAAGGTTATAGTGCTGGAAGTAGTGAAAAGTGATCAGATTCTAAATATATTTTGAAGACAGAGTTGACAGGGTTTTTTACGCATTGCATGTGAAATGTGAAAGAAAGAAAACAAGGATTATTTAAATATGTTTGGTTTAAATAACTGGGAGAATAGGGCTGCCACATGGGGATCAGGAATTATGTTTTGGACATATTAAATTTGGGATGTCAATTAGACACCCACCATCTTCTCCCTATACAATCTTCTATTTACCCACTGTTTTTATGAGACAAATCCCTTAATATTTCTACATTTTTTGGTATGCCATTTCCAATCTTAGTATTTGCCACCTATTTATGCAAGAAACTGGGTATTTTTTATATTTCCCTTCTTACCTCTAACAGCCAATTGATCTGTTAATAATGCCTTTAAAACCATTCTCAAGTGTTCTTTCCCTTTCACACCCACTATCACTACCTTTATTCATACCTTCAAAATCTCTTCCTTTATCTCTGAGCAAAACAGATGCATTTTTCCCTTTATTAGTAAGATTGAGTAGAGTGGTCCAGCTGATCTAGGTTCAGGAGGTAGAGGTGGAAGTGGAAGCAAGGGGCAGGGCATAAAAAATAGTGTTATTTACTCCCAACTTTGGTACCTGTGCCTGTAAACAAACACCAGAATTGCTTCTAAGAGAGAATTCTGAGGTTGATCCGGGAAAGCAGATTATGAGATCAAGGTCCCCTTGGGTGGTCCCGCACACTATTTCCTGATCAAAAACCTTTGAAGGCAAACTGCAGTTCATGAGCCACATGCAGCTCTTTGGCCCCTTTTGTGTGGCTCTTCCACAAAATACCACATGCAGGTGCGCACATACACTGTGATTGAAACTTCGTGGCCCAGGTGCAGAAGCCGGTTTTCAGCTCTCGAAAGAAATTTCAATTGTTGTACTGTTGATACTTGGCTTTGTTGACTAATGGGTTTGCCGATCACTGTTCTAGGGAATCAGGCAGTGCGTCTATCATGTTTCTGGAAAGCTAGCACCTTTTTCATGATGAAACTTGTTTCTCACCCTTAGGTTACTGGGCTAATTGCAGGGTACACAAGTGCACCAGGAGGTGAATAATCATGGAGTAGGAAGGGCACAAAGTTCGAGAAACTGTTAATATAGGAGTTTTATGGGTGGATGACTAAATTTCACTTCAAATATTTCTATGTGAGTACAATTTTTGGCATGGGCACATGGGGCTGTGCCAAAAGGAAATCTAACAAGTGTCTCCCACCTGAATGATTCGATTAGTGTAGTTCAAATACCATTCATACATCAAACACTTGTTGGTGCTTAGTACATGTCAGGCATTATTCTATGTACTTCCATGAGCCTTACCAGCACAGCCAAGGGTTTGGTGAGCCTGAGGGAGGGCTGGTGAAGATGAAGAAAAAAAAACAGACATGTAGAATAAGCTGGGTCTAGGTGGGTCTTCTGTGCCTGGCTGAGGCCACAAAATAGATCTATCGGTAGACTGCAAAGCTGATGCTTTATTTATAGTCAGGGGTAAACAAGGTAATTTACAATGTTCTTGTAAGTTTTACTTGTTTTGGCAGCACTTGAGATTAGCTGCCCAGAAGAGGTCTAGGGAGCAGTCACAAGATCAAGCTTAATTATGCTTAGAGGGCTGTGCCCTCCAAGCTGGGACTTGTTTTCGACTTTGCCAGCTGGTCAGTCTGAGGCTTAACCCTATAACCACCCCTTACATCTTGCCCTTCTTTTAATTTTAAGCTACTAATAATGGAAGTAAAACTTAAACATCAAGAACAAAGTTCTGACTATTAAAACACTAACAAAATAATGCCAATGCAAAACCCAAAAACAAAACAATGCAAATACAAAACCCAGACGTGGTTCTTAATAAAACAATGCCAATGCAACACTACAATAGAGACACCAAACTACAGTAACATTTTCCTTCTAAATGAAAGTTTCTTTTGCTGATTTACTCAAGAGTCCTTGGACTTGGCTGCAGAAGACTTTGCAGAAGACTGGCAGCTAACCAATGCTAGCATGGCCAGAAACATGGTTGAGGGAGTAGCTTCCACTTCTTGCTTTTCTGCCATCTGCTGGGCCTCATTTGTTAACTTCTTCAGCTGACCCCATGTTGGCACCTCAGTCTTTTGTATAGCCTTCATCATCTTCCTTTTCCACTTTGCTGTCATCGGGGCAACTCTCAGTCTTTTGAACGATGGGAGAAGGAGCTTTTCTGGGTCCATGGTGGTGACACATGTAACTCTCTGGCACCCAAATTGGCTGTGCTGCTCCTTCTGGAAAGATACAAACACAACCTCTTCCCCACATCCTTACTGGATCTGGTCCAAACCATTGTCCAGTTTGTGCATCCTTCCATCGGGCTAACCCTGCAGAGGCTATTGTACAGGAGGCCTGATGCTTTTCAGCTGTTGTACAACCCTCTGCATCACAATTCAAAAAAATTTAAAGCATGTAGAACATGACTGAGTTTGTTTTGAGGTGACACATAACATCTATCTTTCCTTTCTAGTAATTGCATTTTAAGAGTATGATTTGCTCTTTCCACTATTGCCTGACCTTGAGGGTTGTAAGGGATACCAGTTTTATGACAAATTTGATATTGCTGACAAAAATGTTGAAAAGTAGAACTAGTGTATGCGGGTCCATTGTCAAATGTTGCCCTGCCTCTAGCTTAATTAAGAATGCAGGCGGCTACAGGCTTTTTGTCATTTTAAATTCTGCTGTTGGATTATAAGAGTTATTTAGTTACTTTATTTTGCCCTTCTTAGAGGCCAAAACCTTCATAACATTTAAAATATATTTATTAATTTTTATTTGATAAGACTTTACATGCAATGTCAAGTATATTAGATCTGTTAAGTTTAAAAAGATTTCCTTTAAGAAGAGAGAATAAATTTCTTGTATTACTCTGGGCCCTTGGAGCTTTACAAAAATTATCTCTCTTAAAGCCTTGAAATTTTAACATGGAAAAAAACCATCAAACAAATATCTACATATGACTTAAATATTATAATATCTTTTATAATTATCTTAAGATATCCATTAGATTTTAAATTAGTTTTTGCATAGAAAAATTTTGGTTGAGATCACAGAATTAATCCTCTTTTTTAATTAGCAAGCAATTTATCTTCAATTCCTAATTATTAGAGAAAACACATTTTATTTTCTCAAAATAAGTTTTTATACTTTAGGCATTTAATTACCACAACTATATAATTTATCCCAATTTAATTTGCACTTTGAACTTTTAAAGCTAGCAAGTCAAATATATTTAGCAGTTCTTAGATTAATAACACTTTACATTTCTAAAAAAAAAATACAAGACATAATCAAATAGTAGCTTCAATTCTGTCCTCTAGTTTTTTTATGAGGCAAATTTAAACTTTACTTTTTATTTGCTAGTAGCTCTGGAAAACCAGGTTTGGTTTATTCCAATGTAAACTACCACATTTTTCAAAGATGGTTCCTGGCAGGAAACTAGATTACTTGTCTACTGGGGGAATGGCATCTACCCCTTCCTCCGTTAACAAAGGGCGTAGCCAGTTACCTGGGCTATTTAGATCTTTGTAATTAATAAATTATTTATCTATATTTCAACAATTTTTGAGATTAAAATCCAATTCCAATTATTTTAAGGCATTTACTTTGGATAAATTCTATAACAGAAAATTTACTGGTTTTCTTGAAGACCTTAAAAGTTAACTTTTTAACAAGGTTCATTAGTATAAATGAGAATTCTGTTGCTGGAATTAGCTTGAGTTCCTTTTGAGAAGACTTTTTCGCAGTTTTTCTTAGGAAAAAAAAAGCCCAAAACACAGTTCTGGGTTTTTCATTTTCTATAGCTTTTGCAGAGATATTCCAGCTTAAGGCAATACAAATGTCCAAAATCAGACCATGCACACATTCTATCTTACAGCTAGGCTCTCTCTCCATGAGCACAGAAATTCCAGACACATTTCCAAACTTTTAAGACTTTTTCATGGCGAAAAAGGAAACTTTAAATTAGCATACTGAGAGAGTGGGCTTCCATATTGGATCGCTACATGTTTCCCTTCCCCCACATCGTGCTTACTTTGGGGGAAGTTTCAGCAATAGATCTGGCTGAATTTCTTTTCATGCTTAAAAGATAAAGACAGATCTTAAATTTTTTTCTTTCTTTTTTGCTTCCCGAAGTACGTAATAACTAATCACCCAATTTGGCCAAGATTTGCATTTCCCTGCCACATTCCTCCAATCCCCTTCCGGAGTGGGCTCTAGGCAGTCCCGAATCAGGGACCACAGACTGAAAGTAAAGGCAGGCATTTTCCTCTGGCCCTTCAGCTATATAATGATCACAAAGTTGTTTTCCTACCTTCTCCCATGCCTCTATATTTACCTTTTCTTCCTCAGAAAACCATGGGCAGGTTTTACTCACAAAATCCAAAAAATTGAAAAGCTGTTCATACTCACAGAACAGCCCCTTGCTTGGAACACAGCCTTAAGCATGGATATGAATACATTCTTTCCCGGCAATCCTAAATTTCCCATGTTTTACACCTAGTCAGTACTACACCCCTTTCTTACTTACTGCATGCGCACGCATTGAGGCCTCCTTTCACCTGACAACTGAGTTCCCTCACACTCAGGTCCGCATTGAGTGCCACTTGGGCTGAACTCAGCACCTTCTTGGGCACCACTTGAGCCACGCCAGCACAGCCAAGGGTTCTGCGAGCCTGAGGGAGGGCCGGTGAAGGGTGAAGAAAAAGACAGACAAAGATAATAAGCTGGGTCTAGGTGGGTCTTCTGTGCGTGGCTGAGGCCATAGAACAGATCCAGACTGCAAAGCTGATGCTTTATTTATAGTCAGGGGTAAACAAGGTAATTTACAATGTTCTTGTAAGTTTTACTTGTTTTGGCAGCACTTGTTGCACCTCTCACAACCCATTAGTTGCCCAAGAAAGATCTAGGGAGCAGTCACAAGATCAAGCTTAATTATGTTTTAGAGGGCTGTGCCCTCCAAGCTGGGACTTGTTTTTGACTTTGCCAGCAGGTCAATCTGATGCTTATCCCTATAACTGCTCCCTACACTTTCATATAATGCAATTTCTTTATGAGGTAGGTACTATTACGATGTCTGCTTTATAGGTGAGAAAATAAAGTAATTGAGAACTTAAGGTATTCAAAGTCACATAGAAAGTGGCAGTGCTGGGATTAAAATCCAGGCAGTGTGGCTTCAGATTCCTTGCTCTTAACCCCCATGCCATATTGTATGGTGAATGCTAATTGAATGTGCCCCTGGGTAGTCCACACTTGTGGGGCTAAGGTATTGACCAGACTCTAAGATGCCAATGATTCTAGCCACTAGCCAAGGCAATAGTGGGCTGGAAACAATGCTATGAAGGGAAGAGGTCTGGATGGAAGGGTATAGTGAGCTAGAAATGAATTCTGAGGAGGCTGAGGCAGAAGATCAATTATGTGTTGGAAATATAGGAGTAGTGTTACTCCCCCAGGACCTGGTTATCATGGGACAATGTATCATGGGTCTGACTTTGCCTCAATTGTAGGAATCATAGAGGTTACATCAGATATGGAACAACTAGAAGAACCCTGGGACCAAGAGTTCTTAAAATGTACTGCTATACTTGCCTATTGGAATGGTGCCCATGGGTACAGGCAACCACTGATCCTAATACAATAGGGTACTTTGAACATCATAAACCTTTGGGCTACACCAGCATGGACATGGATCTATATGTTCTATAATGCATATGCCTGCTTTGTGTGCCATGACTGGGATAAATGGCTGTCATTCTCAGGCTGGAGCCCATTTATACTGCCCCTTGATATTCTGAATTCTGCAACAGGATAGGTGCTTTGGGAAGGGTCTACTTCACCTGGTATGACCTGAGTTTAGAAGTCTGTGCTGGCTGCTCTGGTTTGAGCTTATGGTTACAAGCTGCCTCTCTTAAAGGAAGTGTCTCCTTATTTTGAAAGTAGCCTTGATCACTAAGAGCTTTTATTTCTATTTGGGGTAATTGACCTTGGTAAGGACTGATTTTCTGGAAATGTAGGTACAGGGGCAGGGATCAAAGCACCCAGGTCCTCCATATCCCTTTCTACTAGGATGTTGAAGGCATTACTCAATGGTACAGGACCGGGCTGAGGTGGACAGCCTTCAGCTACTGGAAGGTCATTTTTGTGTCCGAGAACCAAATTCCTTACTCTTAAGAAGAAAGGATATTGTGGTAGCGAAGATGCAGAGGTAATAGATAAATTGCTGATGGTATCAAGGGGTTGTTAACATCTTCAGTCATCTCAGGGAACTTCATTTCATAAAGGCTTATAGCTTATAATCAGAACTTTAACATTTTGGGGCTTGGCCTGGAGATAGTGCTACTGTCCTTATTCCATTACCATGCAGCTCAAAGCCTCTGTGAAATAAAATTAAGTGAATTCATCAAAAATATTGCCCAGGCAAATAACTATTGTAGGAAGCGGTGCATGATCCCATTTACTGGAAGGTAGGAGCACCACACAGAAATTTTCCACTCTTTACTTTTCTTGATCTATAATAGGTGAGGTTATATCTATTCTATACCACTATGGTATAGAATAGATAGCTCAATGAAGGTCAGAGGCTTATGGAATTGAGTTAGGAGGTTCCAGGTTAACAGAAAGGATTTTGAATAGTATTTACATTGAGGATGGAGTAATCTTGACAAGGACTCCCTGCTTTTTATTTTCAGGAAGTCTCAAGGCCAATGTAGACGAGATGATGAATGTGATGAAACCTGCTGCAAGCTGTTGTCCAAAGTTGTTATTTTATTAGAAGGCCTTGATTTTAGGGTCAGAGAGCATTTGTTCCTTTGGTAGTGAGATTCCTTGGTGTTAGGGGTGATCCTTCTGTCTCTTGGTAAGGAGCATTTCATTTGCCTTACAAGTATGGGTTGAACCTAGCAGTGTGAGGGGTGGGTCAAACAGGGAATTCTATGTGATGTTTAGAAGGGGGAAGGGGTCTAGGGAATGTTGACAGTAAAACTCAGACAAAGCAAAAGATATGTCTTGAGGACAATAGTGACTAGTCTATTTCTAGCTAGGAGCAGCTTATTGGCAAGGCAGAAGTGTAAGGTAAATGCAATGGGTAACAAACAGAACTAGGACTAACTTCAGCTGGACAGACTGTGGAATCTGAATCATGGACTTGTCTGAGACACTAAACCCTTGAACACAGTCTGGTCATAATAAATGACTTTTATCTAACACTTACTGTATGCTAAGCTCTTTGCTAAGCACTTTAATGCAATTATCAGATTTAATCCTATAACTCTATAAGGTATGTACTATTATCATCTCCAATTTTTGCAAATGAGGACACTGAGGCACAGAAAGATTTTTATAGCTAGTAATTGATGAAGCTGAGATTCCCAGTGTGACAATGAACCACTATGATATACTGTCTTCCTCAGTTCTATAAGAATACATCTCATCCTCTAGAGCAGGAGTGGGGAACATCCATCCTGAGGGCCATATAAGACCTGCAAAATCACTTAACCTGGCCCTGCCAAGGCATTAGGGGGGTGAGTTAATTAAATGTTTGACCAAATATAGCAAGCTCATTTTTAAGTTGATAATTTTACATGACCTGCACATGATGTTATAAATATCCAAATGGCCCTTGGCAGAAAAAAACGTTCCCTACCCCTTCCCCAGAGGCCAGGGATTGGGATGACATAGGAACAAAGCATGTCTTAGCTTGTTCCTAATTGGCTAGCTGGCTGGGCAGTTTTCTCATGGAAGGCCTGGTACCTTATGGGTTGGACACGTACAGACAGAATGATCGAGGCCACAATGGTAAAGGTCTGTCTATTTTGTCTAGTGATGGACCTACTGCAGGTGCCAGCATGGAACTGGTATGAGTAGGAAGTGATATGACATGCCATCCATGGTTGAAGGACAGGTCTGCCTTGGAAGTGAGGTGATACGACTGACATTGAATCCAGGCCTACTTTTTCATGCAATTATCTATTTGTTTACAAATGCTGGGTAGTGCACAGTGTGAATTGTTAACCTACCAGCCAGACCCCCTTTTCTAGATGCACTTTCTCCTCTCATCTCATTGCTTTCCCTAAGTTCAGGTCCTCAACACTTGTCAGCAGGACAGCTGAACCTATTCAGTTTCCCTATCTCCAGTTTACACTTCCTTCAATCCATCCTCTATACTGCAGTCAGTTATTTTCCTAAAATACAAATCTGACCGTTTTATTTCTTTTTTTAAATATATATTTTTATTGATATCAGAGAGGAAGGGAGAGGGAAAGATAGAAACATCAATGATGAGAATCATGGATTGGCTGCCTCCTGCATGCCCCCTACTGGAGGTGGAGCCTGCAACCTGGACATATGCCCTTGACCGGAATCTAACCCTGGACCCTTCAGTCTGCAGGCCAATGCTCTATCCACTGAGCCAAACTGTCTAGGGCTTCCCATTTTACTTCTTAACATAATTTTTCTGTGCACCCCCATTTCCTACTGCAGTTTCTCAAAGTGTGTGCATCAGAATCGCTGCTCAAGTCTGAAAGTGAGGGTTCTGGCACACCATTCCAATCCTGCTTGATTAAGACCTCTGAGACCTAGGAAGCTGCACTTTTCAATTGGATGATGCCTATATACATAGAGTCCTTCATGACCCATTCTCTACTTTTTCACCTCAGCTTCTGCCATTGCCCACTTTGTACCTTAACCCTCCTGCAATACAAGATTGCATGTAGTTCCCCAAATCCATCAAGACTTGCAAACTCTTCTTTTGCAAAGGTGGCTATGGCCTTCTGAAATGCCTCTCATCTTCCTCTCACTGGCATACTTCATACTTTGAAATCTTATTCATCATAATATCATGATTGATAAATCTCACTTTACTTCTCTACAGCTCAGTTTCTCAAACTTTTTTTTTCCATTACTGCTCCCCCATCCAAAGAGCTTTTAGCACCTTTTCCCAATTGAGCCCTGTATGGAATTTTAATATCACAGATATGCTGTACATCTGTTTCTATACTATGGCCCTTTGGAGAACCATAAACCATGGCATGTCTACACTATCCCTGGCAAAAATCAGTTTTTGCTCCCTAGGGGGACAATATTGTCTCTGTTGAGAATGCATGTTCTGCAGTGGCAGACACTGCTATCTAAACTGGCCTTGAGTTTCACTTTGGTTTCTGTGATGTCTATACTGATTTTTCCTATCTCTCTGATTATTCCTTCTCAAGACTCTTTCATAGGCCTTTCTTCTTCCACCTGTCCTGTAAATACTGGCATTGCACAAGCCTCAAGACTTGTTTTTATTTTTCTGTGTTATTCTATACATGCTTTTCAGGTGACTTGATCTTTTTCTTAAGTTGTTTTTTTTTGGTTTTTTTTTGGTGTGTGTGTGTGTGTGTGTGTATTTTTTCCCCACTGATTTTTATAGAGAGTAGAATGGAGGGAGGGTAGAGAAAAGGATAGGAGGAGAGAGGGAGAGGGAGAGAGAGGAGAGAGAGGGAGGAAGGGAGAGAGAGAGGAGAGAGAAGAGAGAGAAGAGAGAGAAGAGAGAGGAGAGAGAGAGAGAGAGAGAGAGAGAGAGAGAGAGAGAGAGAGAGAGAGAGAGAGAGAAAGAGAGATTTTGACTAGTTGCCGAGCAGGGATGAATCTACAACTGAGGTATGTGCCCTTGACCAGGAATCAAACCTGAGATCCTTTG